ACCCGGCCCACTCTTACCGACCCAAACCCGACCCGTTTACCCGAATTGACAACTCTACCCGAAACCTCCAAAATTTCTCAAAAACGTGGATATTAGCCTTCAATTTTGAATTTTTTTTTTACTTTTTTCACCCGAAAATAAAAATTGTCGAAATTTTTACCATGGTCCCTAATACCCTCCGGGAGTCCAATTGGCTGGGTGGAACCATCCAATTTGCCTTTAAACGACCAATTTACCGGTTTACAACTTGCACCGATTTCATCAACTCAAGCTTAACACGAACATTTATGAAAACATATAATGATCATATATGGATCCAAACGGCATTATATGATCCGAAATGTATCCCCTAAAATCTCAATGTTTTTCGACACCGGGCCCCGAAACATTCGACATTTCTCAAAAAGCGTGGATATTAGCCTTCAATTTTGTTTTTTTTTTTTTTTTTACTTTTTTCGCCCGGATATAAGAAGTGCCGAAATTTTTACTATAGTCCCAAATACCCTCCGGGAGTTTAATTGGGTGGGTGAAACCATCTAATTTGCCTTTAAACGACCAATTTACTGATTTACAACGTACACCGATTTCATTAATTCAAGCCTACCATGAACATTTATGACAACAAATAATGATCATATATGGTTCCAAACGGCATTATATGACCCCGAGATGTATTCCCTAGAATTTAAAAACTTTTCGACACCGGGCCCGAAACCTCCTAAAATTCTCAAAAAGCGTGTATATTGGACTTCAATTTTGGAATTTTTAGACTTTTTTTGCTCGAAAATAAAAATTGTCGAACTGTTTACCATGGTTCTTCCTAATACCCTCTGGTAGTCCAATTAGGTGGGTGGAACCATCCAATTTGCTTTTAAACGACCAATTTACCAGTTTACAACTTGCACTTATTTCATTAATTCAAGCCTACCACGCACATTTATGACAACATATAATTGTCATTTATGTTTCAAACGACATTATATGACCCCGAGATGTATCTAATAAAATCTCATTTCTTTTTGACACCTGGCCCCGAAACTTTCGAAATTTCACAAAAAACGTAGTTATTAGTCTTTAATTTAGGAAATGTTTTGACTTTTTTTGCCCGGAAAAAAAAAATTGCCGAAATGTTTATCATGGTCCCTAATACCCTTCGGGTGTCCAATTGGGTGGGTGAGATCATCCAATTTGCCTTTAAACGGCCAATTTACCGGTTTACAACTTGCACCGATTTCATTAACTCAAGTCTATCACTAACATCTATGACGACACATAATGATCATATATACATGGTTCAAAACGGTATTATACCCCAGATTCATTCCCTAAATTCTCAAGACTTTGCGACATCGGGCCCCGAAATCTCCAAAAAATTTCAAAAAGCGTGGACATTAGCCTTCAATTTTAGAAAATTTCGACTTTTTTTCGTCTGAAAATAAAAATTGCCGAAATGTTTACCATGGTCCCTAATACTCTTCGGGAGTCCAATTGGGTGGGTGGAACCATCCAATTTTCCTTTAAACGGCTAATTACCGGTCTATAACTTGCACTGATTTCATTAACTCAAGCCTACCACGAACATTTATGACAACAAATAATGATCATATATGGTTCCAATCAACATTAAATGACCCTGAGTTGTATCCCTTATTATTTCAAAACTTTTTGACACCATACCCCGAAACCCCCCAAAAGTTCTCAAAAAGCGTGGATATTAGCCTTCAATTTTGAAAATTTGACCTTTTTTTTGCCCGAAAATAAAAATTGCCGAAATGTTACCATGGTCCCTAATACCGTCCGGGAGTCCTATTGGGTGGATGGAACCATCGAATTTGCCTTTAAACGACCAATTTATCAATTTACAACTTGCACCAATTTCATTAACTCAAGCCTACCACAAACATTTTTGGCAACAAATAATTAACATATATGGTTCCAAACAGCATTATATGACCCCGAGATGTAACCCCTAAAATTTCAAGACTATTTGACACCGGACCTCGAAACCTATAAAATTTCTCAAAAAGCGTGGATATTAGTCTTCAATTTTGGATTTTTTTGACTTTTTTCGTCCGAAAATAAAAATTGCCAGAATGTTTACCATGGTCCTTTATATCCTCCGAGAGTTCAATTGGGTTGATGGAACCATCCAATTTTCCTTTAAACGGCCAATTTAATTATCGGTTTACAACTTGCACAGATTTCATTAACTCAAGCCTACTACGAACATTTATGACAACATATAATGATCATATATAGTTCCAAACGACATTATATGACCCCGAGATGTATCCCATAGAATTTTAAGACTTTTCGACATCGGGTCCCGAAACCTCTAAAATTTCTCAAAAAGCGTGGATATTAGCCTTCAATTTTGGAATTTTAATTTTTAACTTTTTTTCGCCCGGAATTAAAAATTGACGAAATTTTTACCATGGTCTCTAATACCCTCCAGGAGGCCAATTGGGTGTGTGGAACTATTCAATTTGCTTTTAAACGTCCACTTTACCGGTTTACAACTTGCACCGATTTACCGGTTTAGAGCGGCCAATTTAATTAACTTGCACCAAACCTGACTTGAACCGAATTTGATCCAAACCTATGTTTAACCCGTCAAAATCCGAATTCAACCCGACTTGTTACTAACCTGACCTAAATTCAACACGACCCATTCCTAAGGTGACCCGAATTTAATCTAACCTGTTATAAAACTGCCCGAAATCAACCCGACTTGTTATTGACTTGACCCGAATTTTATCATACCTATTACTTACCTAACCCAAAAATTCAACCCGATCTGTTAGTAACCTGACTCGAAATTAACACGACCTGTTATTGATCCGACCTAAATTCAACCCAAATTGTTCCTGGCCCGATTTCAAATCACCTTAAATGCAATTTAGACCACCTCATTATTGTTGATCAAAGCATTTTATCTTGGGAGATTAAGTCGGTGCAAGCCAGCAAAAGAAAGGAACATCATTCTTAAATTTAGGAGTTCAATATAGTATATATTTGTTGTATGGTCAAAGGAGATAATTATCTTCTTAAATTATAAACTATAGTTTCCTAGTATATTGTTATATACTACGTATATTAACCCGACTCAAACCCGATAAGAAGTATGACCCGATGTGACCCGACTCAAGCATGACCCAACCCAAACCCGACCCACATAGGTTATGGAATTAATCTGAATTAATCCGACCCGAGTTGACCCGACCCACTCTTACCAACCCAAACCCGATTCGTTTATCTGAATTGACAACTCTAGATAAAAGTGTGAAAAACTTAAAAAGCTTGCGACGGTAAATAAAAGCTTATACAAATCCTTCACCTAATTTCACAGATTTTAGGAAAAAAAATAAATCATTTAAGTCATTGAAAATCATATAAATTTTTACACTAATAAAAATTACTTATATATGAATAAACATCAAAATAATTGGCATAAATTTTAAAACAATGTGATTTACAAAACGTCAAAACCTCAATGAAATGTAGGAATTTTCAAAAGAATTATTATAATGACAACATATGTAAATACATATACAAGTTATACAACTTTTTATTTTTTCTTTATTTTTTTTTAAAAAAAAAAAGACAAATTACTACTGGCAAGTAATATTAGGTACTCCATACAAAAATTGACCAATAAAGTGTACTAGACTAGTCACATCGCATGTAAAATATACCAAGCATATTACATGCTAAATCATTTGATAAATGGATGAAAGTATTGGAGGAGCATAGCTTTAATCCTTCAATGATGTGATCTTCATGATTTGGAATATTTCACAAGCATATTATGTCTCATATATACGAATAAATCGATTTGTTTTTCTTAGCATATATATATGTCTATCATTTGTTGAGCTTTTAAAACTAGAGAAATCTCTAGGATGGGGAAGAAAACCTTCCAACAAATAAGCTAGTTATGAAGTGCGTTTTAGTACTACTTATGAGGTGAAACGGGACTAAAACCGTAAAATTATGAAGATTACAACGTCCACATACAAGTATACAATATGACAACCATGGTGAAAGCAATCAAGCTAGGTTTCATAAATTTGGTAACACCAAGTTTTTTTTTTTCTCTTGCTTTATTTCTTCCTTTATTTAGCTATATTATTGTCATTATGCCTAATTAAGCTTACTAGCTTAGAGTGGTGTAACCTATGCTTATTCTTAAATCATTTTTCTAACGGCTTAGTGTTTTGATGATATATAGTATTATGATTCTCTCTTTCTATGTTATGTACTCCACTTAATTGTTGATTTGCCTCAATTAAGGTTGTGATGGAACCTACCTTTGCCTATTAATTGCTTGAAATTCTAACGTCTACATATCCCATTATCCCTTGAAGGTTCAGTAAGTTGATGTACATGATAAGAGGGTACAATTACGTTTATTAGATGTTTTTTCCATAGGTATTGGTTATTATCTCGGACTTTGTTCAAATTTAGCTATTTCAGTAGTAAGCTTATGTCATGCCATCTAAAATTAAATTTTAAGGACGCAATTTGATATATTGAACTAGATTTTGGCCTAAACGATACCAAATAGTCAAATATACACGCATCAAATATTGAAGTACAATATGACAAATTGTTCCCTATGCTATGAGGGGTATTGCGTATTGGTTTGTGTCATGTCAACAAAAGAAGAGGCTTATGTTGTTTTCATGTTGGTGCCATTTTAAGTCTTCATGTACTTGCATTTCAATTGCATATATGCTCGGATAGACTTATTATTTCTCTTCAGAACATACAAGATGATTATGGATTATGGTTAATGGTAATGCTCAAATCTAACTCAAAAGCTCACATAATTTTTAAGGCGATGATGGAACGATCAAGCTGCAAAATCAGCAAGAGGTTTCGATCTGTCATTAGTCGTGTGCTTATTAACCCGTGTAACCTCTGTGTAAATGTAAATGAAATTTGTTCGATTACTTTAAACCTCCAAAGTAGCATCACAATCAGTTTTCATATTACAATAGGAGAAACAAAAATGTTGTATAATTTATACTCAAAGTAAGAGAATTCAAGCCACCAAAATATGGTTGAATCTAATGCATTATTACAAGGAGATAAGTATAAAAAACACAACAAAAAAGGCGGTCAAAATAAGGAAGGTGGTTTGAAATTTTATGTAACAACAAAGGTAGCTTCCTGCCACAAAAGGAGTAAAAGAAAAACACAAAACACAATCCTATCCACAACACTCTTGTTAACAAATGGGAAGAGCTTTCTCTCAGCACCTTAATGCAAAGTGCAGGGGAAAATTTTCGGCTGTTTTTAGGAGACACTTTTATGTCATAAAAATTATATGTTCTCCTTAATTTTTTCTGCACTACTTCGGGCCTATTCGCTCTACTTCCTGCCCTTCATTATCACTGAATTAGCAAACATCTTCGTCTTTAACTACACACCTCCTTATGGAGGGGGGTCTTCAACTCTTGTACTCCCGCTTGCTCGGGCTCATCAAACGGTGTAATTCTGTTGGATGGTGTCAATGTCAAGACCCTTTAGCTTCACCACGGACTCAACGTGTCCTTTGAGTGTGTGCAACTCACGAAGCCTACATTCATACAAGAAGAAAAAGGTCATTTATATAAACTCCAAAGTATGGATATAAGGCAACAGGGGACAGTAAGTAGTGTACTAGTGTTTTCGTTGACAACATACCTTGCAACTTCAGCGCGTCTTTTGGCTTGCTCAGCGATCTCAGAGAGTTCCCTGTAGCTGTTCTTGTCTTGGAAGAGAGGAGCAGAAGATTCGGGTGCTTGAAGCCCGTGTAGAGTTCTCTGAGCAAGGGCCCATTGAGCTTCTCTCTCTTCTTTTCCATAATCCTTCTTGCTGGTGAATGCAGTCTGTGTGCAACAAAATCATTTGTTACTCCTTTTTATAATTATGTTTCATAGTTTTTAGGTACTAACAAAAAGTAATAGACGGGAGTCAATGAGAGATCACACACCTTGCTCTCGAACAAGTTGAGCCATGCCTTTCCACTCAAGATGTAACGGATGGCAAACTTGAGTACGTCGAGTGGGAAGTAGAAAACTATGTTGAATAGCCAGACTACACCAGCCCATCCCCATCCACATCCCTTGATCTCGGCAAAGTTCCAGGTAGGATATACAGCAATAAGAGTAGCCACCTGACCGAGGAAAAAAAAAAAATCATAAATCACAACATTTAGACAACTTTTCTTTACAATGTTCTTTGCTTTACAAAGGAAAAGGATGATTCACTACATAATTCTTACCAGCTGAGCAATCGCGAAAGCTACCATCAACAGCATACCAGGTCGCTCAACAAAGGACCAGCTGCGAGACCTGGTCACGAAAATGAGGGCCTGACTTACTATACTCACTTGGAGATATAGAGCAGCCATCATTTCCTCACGGTTACCTCTAATGGATCTTACTCCGAATTTTTCCTACATGATGAAGAAACAGTCAGTGGATATTATAAGTAATAAAAGTAGTTTTTATTTGACAAAAAGATGAACTTATTAAGGATTAAAACTATATGGTTACGTACTGTAAAAAAGTCTGTGTCTGACATCAACCAGAAGAAAATGACAGTCATCAAAGCTAGGTAACCTCCGAGAACAATTCCAGTGGCGAAGATTTCCTTGAGCTTCCAGCTGTCAGGAACTGGAGATGGCTTGACTCGATCCTTTGAAATAGTCATGATTGTTCCTTAAAGAAGAAAAAGATGATTTTTAGTTTATGTGTTCTTTCGTATAACTTAGATAGAGAAGCCTAAATATAAACGATCAACTTAAGAAATTCTTACCATCATTCAAGATGGCAATAATCAGAACCATGAAGGGTGAGAAGTCGAATTTCCAGATCAAAGCAATAAGCATAAAGCCAAGCTACAGAATTAAAAAGAATAAATTAGACGGTTAATTAGAAAATGGATTAATGATGAATCAAAAAATTCAGAAAAATTGTAAGACTTTTACATACCACTATACGGATGGTGATGGAGACTGCATAGATCTGCATCAATGAGAATAATAATAGAAAGGGAAGGTAAGACAAAAAAATTCGGTAAAATAATGAGAAAGGAGAATAAAAAAAAATAAGTAAACAAAACCCACAGTGTAGTTCTTCATCCTCTGGAAGATAGCCCTACTGGTCAACACAGCACTGATGATAACACTGAGACCAGGCTCAGTGAGAACAATGTCAGAAGCACTTCTTGCGGCATCAGTAGCATCATCAACAGCAATACCAATATCTGCCTTCTTCAAAGCAGGGGCATCATTGACTCCATCTCCAGTCATACCAACAATGTGCTTCTTCTCTTGCAACTTCTTAACAATTTCATATTTGTGCTCTGCACAACAGATAAAGTAACAATGCTAAGTTTAGAAGATGAGGTTACTGCAAGTCTGCAATCCCCTTTAACAACATTTTAGATGAAGATATGTCTCACCTGGGAAAACTCCGGCAAATCCATCAGCTTTCTCAATCAACTCATCGATAGGAAGGCTGGCAATGGATGAATCTTTGTCATTGCCAAGCAAAGCTGAAGATGGGTACATGTTTGTTCCCATTCCAAGTCTTCTACCAGTTTCCTTACCAATGGCAAGTTGGTCACCTGTAATGTTGGACCAAAAGAAGATCAGCAACCTCCTAATGATTACAGATAGTGTGCTAAAACAGATGACACAATTCAAGAATTGTTAAGAGATGATTTCCTTACCAGTGATCATCTTAACATTCACACCAAGGTTGAGGGCCTTGCGGATAGTTTCAGCACTGTCGTGCCTTGGAGGATCAAAGAGTGGCAACAAACCAACAAATTGCCATGGTGCTCCTGGAGCATCCTTGTTCTTTTCGGGCACTTCCTGCAAATTTAGATTAAAGTTATAAGCGTGCCTAATGCTAAATAACCAGAAACCATGTACATGTTTATCATTCATCTTCAAACCTGTCTTGCGACACCCAATGAACGAAGACCACGTTCAGCAAACTTCTCAATAACGGCATGGACTTTCTTTCTAACATCCTCCTTGCAATTGCACAAGTCAATAATCTGTGTGATGAAAAGAGAAGAAAAACAAATGTCAGTTTTGTAAGCTAAAATAAAATTCCAAAATGGCACACTGCAAATTTCAAAGAAAGTAAATATAAATTACCTGCTCAGGTGCACCTTTGCTGACTCTATGCCAGTTTCCGTTGCCATCGATGTAAGTCAAAGCAGTCCTTTTGTCCACAGGGTTGAATGGAAGAAAGTGAACCTCCCTAATTCCAGCTCTAGCCTATATACCATTATACAATATATTAGCCAACTGAAACATTGAACCATTTACACAATATATACCTGCTTTCCTAAATATGCAAATCCCCAAGACAGTAATAACACAATACCTCTTTGGGGTCAGCAAGCATTCCAACCATACAAGTGTCAATAGCATCTTGGTTCTCAACACGTGAGGCCCTTGCGGCAAGAAGGAGAACATGCTCCTTGTCAACACCCTTGCAAAATACCTCAATCAAGTTCTTGTCAACACTCAACTTGTTGAGAGTCAAGGTACCAGTCTTGTCACTGCAGAGCACATCCATACCAGCCATTTCCTCAATGGCAGTCATTCTCTTTGTAATAGCTCCTTGTTGAGACAGCCTGTGGGACCCAATAGCCATAGTCACTGACAACACTGTAGGCATGGCAATTGGGATACCTCCAATCAAAAGAACCAAAAGATTGTTGATTCCACTCCTGTATCTACGGTGTTGAATAGGGTACATCACGATGATCTCAATTGCCATACCGACAGCAATGGAGATAATACAGAAGTTTCCAATGGAGGTAAGAACCTTCTGGAAATGACCAACTTGGTTGGTGCTGTCGACAAGATGGGCAGCCTTTCCAAAGAAAGTGTGGACACCAGTGGCAATCACAACAGCTTCAATCTCACCTTGTTTACAGGTTGAACCAGAGAAAACTTCATCTCCGGGATTCTTGGTTACTGGAAGTGATTCTCCTGTTAGGGCAGACTGGTCAATCTTTAAAGGATCACCTTCAAGAAGACGTGCATCAGCAGGGACAATGTCACCCAATTTAATGCTGATGATGTCTCCTGGTACCAACAATGCAGCGTCTGACTCAGACCATCGACCATCTCTAAGAAGCTACACACACCAAAGAGAAAAGGTAAGATATGGTGCATCACTAAGGTTATGGAAAAAGTACATGGCCTTTCCTACTAAAGCAGAAAGGTCCATGTCTTTGACTTCTCAATCAGACAAAAATTGTATTGAACTCATCCTCTCAAATCATACCTTACACTTTGGAGCGAGATTAGCCATGAGGGCAGCAGCAGCATTTCCGGCGTTGTTCTCTTCAATGAAAGAGATAGTAGAGTTAATGACCAACAAACAAATAATACCAACGAAATCTTGCCAATCTGGTGGCTTTCCATCTCCGTTTGCAAGTGCTATGGCCATGATAGCAGCAGCCTCCATAACCCATGACAAGGGGTTCCACATAAACCCAAGAAACTTGAGGAATTTGCTTTCCTGCATGACAAGATAATAATGTTAAAAATGCATATCCAGCAGCAAGTACATTGAGTGATCATTAGCAGCTAAAGCCACAGTATATAACCTTCTTTTCTTCTAATTTGTTTTGTCCAAAGATTTCGATCCTGTCGGCTCCTTCTTGGGTGGTCAAACCTTCCCTTGAACATTTCAGCTGCTCAAACACTTCCTCAATAGGAATGTTTTCCTGTAACAAAAATGTAAAAATTAAGCTTCAAGCATCTTTGATAAGATTGCAAAAACAGGCGGCTTTAGTGAAGTATATAGAGATGGTTGCCACAAAATTTCATGCTCCCATTAGTAAGTGACTAAAGTATAAACAAACACTACAAATTAAATGTCAAGTTCTGTACCCCAATGTATCTATACAGTTCCACTTTATCTGGTCCTTGAACAAGAAAACACTTATCCTTCCATGATCAATGTACCAATGCATTGTTTTTGGGAGGGAAATAGAGACTTCTAAATTTGATCAAATTCATAACAATAGACTAATCAAATTTGTTAATTCCTAATTTCAATCAATTTATTTTCTTTAAAAAATGTTACTATTAATTATGTTGTTCATCTTTAAATAATAATAATAATATTTCCAAAAAATTTAAATATAGTGATAAGTTAAGTCTTGTTTTTTGAAGGGGAATCAAAATATTTTTTAAAAACTATAGATAATAGGAAATAGAATCAGAAAATATCTGTATACAGTATACATTACTCCATTTAAATTATTTTTTATTTTTAAACAAAAAATAAAAATAAAAATACAAACTGAGTCAACTCGGTAAGAAACGAAGACCCAAAAAAGCCGTTGGTACGGAGAACCAACAAAACAGTCTGGAGTAACGTGAATGACAGACAAAAAGTTGAGTAATTAATTTTATTTTTTTGGGAGAGAAATTTTAGGCTGGCTGTTTCACTCGCTTTAACAAACGCGTGTTCCACACGCTCCTTAAATTTTGACATTTATATTCCCAATAATAAAATTAAACAAAAATTTGACCAATAATTCATATTCCCAATGTAGAAATTAAGTAAAGTGGACCCCAAAATTAACCTCAGTTATTCAGTTAGAGTTTTGTCAGTACAGCTGAATCAGTGGCGTAAAACGAGTAAATTCTTTTTACTCTTTCTCCTTTTTTATTAAGGTTTTTTTTGAGTACTACGGAAGGTACTTTGCATCTATTTCAGGCAAACTTATTTTAGTTTTTGTACTTTACTTTGTTAGTTGCATAAATATAAATCAATCAATCAACAATAACTACAACAAAGAAGCTTCCATTTATTTAAGTATAAATTCAATTCATTAAGTAGAAACCATTTGGAATAACAGTGGAACTTGATTAATCTATAGATATAGAGCATACAAATCCAAACATGTCATAAAGTGTCGTGACCCTAGCCGATGATAACATGTGACCGAGGATATTTATTTACCTTTGAAATTAATAATCGCATATACTGCTGTTTTATGTTAGAATTATCGGGACAAAGTTGAGACTAACAATTTATTATGACAATAAAAGGATGTCACCTCAACCAATACACCTTTCAATCTAATCTACCAAATGAGAGAACATGATCAAAAGCTTGGAAAGAGCCAAATTTTACCGAAATTGGCTCTCTACCTCTCCAATAGACCAAGATATTTATTTATTCACCAAGATTTTTCCACTAAAAATATTAACATTTTAAACAAAAAATAATAAATGGACCTAACATCACCAAAATTGTTTTCTTTCATAAGCCTATTTTTGCTAATAGATACGGAGTATTTTATTTTAAATACCCATTTGATTGAAAAAAAGTAAAAAGGCAATAAATTAACAAACGTAGTTAAAAGGGATATGAGACTATGAGTACCTAAATAAAACGTCACACCCCAACTTGTTAGGAATATGAGTTGTTATTGAATTATTTGATACCCAACTAGGCATTTAATTTATTTAATTCTAAACAAATAATTGTTTGGGGTCTAATAAGTTGTGCCTATTATAATAGTATTAAAAACTGAATTAATGAGTAATCAAAGTATTCGATTTGCCTTTGTAAAAGAAATTCTTTGCTTGTGGGTATCGAATTATTTTAAACAATACGAGAAAGTATAATAAAACCTCAATCGTGAAAGACATTAAAACTTTGAATGTGATATAACTAAAAAATAACAGAGAAAGTACGAGCATAAAATAATTAAACTAAACATCCACTGGTCAAACTGCAAGAATCTAGTACGGTGATTAATACGGAGGATGAAGTTGCTAAATCCAAGACATTAATTTTAGATAAGTTTGATTAAAAAGTAAACCTAAACTATAACTAGTTGTTTGGTAACCCCGTGACAAAGGAAACTTTAACAAAATGGTCAGTAATTAAAGAATAACACCCTTTTTTTGACTTCCCCAATATATGCCCGTTTGATCTCCGTGCTTTCCCCTATTAAAGTGGATCAATCAATTAAAACTTCCATTTCAACCAAACAAACCAGGACTTTATACTCAAGGGTGATATTAATTCATTTTTTAACAAACCCGAGTCGTTTTACATGACTAATTTTTTATCCAAGAATCAATTAGAATCAAGAAAGGAGCTCTAACCACTTGAGTCATCTCTCACATGACCAATTGATTGCTTTAGCTGTTGTATGACTTACTAAAGTGTTAATTGATTTATCGTGTTTCACATAGCTAATTGATTATATAGTAAATGTCGTATGACTTGTTATGATGAATGATATTTTTAAACCCCGTAAGATAAGATACGGTTAAAAATTAAAAAAGTAAAAAGCAATTCACGTGAAATATATTTAAGAGGTTAGTGCATTAGTGGAGTAGATCTTAGACATAATGAAGAGAGAAATATGGGTACATGACTTTTTTTGCCATCGTTGGTTACATGGAAAAGTTCACACACAAATAGCCAAAAGGTATCAAAAAATTGAGTGGCATGACACTTTTTTCCCATGTTTTATTTCCATCACATAAAACTTTATTTTACCAATTATCTAATCATATTAAATACTCTATAAACAATTGTTTTGTATGAGTCATAAAATCTCAATAATACATGAGAATAAGAATATAACTTTACTACTATTTCCCAACATATATTTAATAGTCAAATTATACATACCCATATTTTCAATGTTTGAAAAATGTGTTTTCATTAAAATCATGTTATACTCCGTTAATAGTCAATCATCGCGACATATAATTTACACCGTATTGTGTTTTTGGTAAAATCATGTCATATCCTTAGTTATTTATGAGCGAGTTACCTAAGACAACTAGTACAGAAACAGGACCGAAATAGTATATGTGACACTAGTAACAGAAATGCTAAAAGTAAGGCTAGAATTTCTTCCACACCTTAACTTCTCATACATGCATAAATGGTCAAAAGGTAACAAATCTTAAGTAGACAGTCAAAAAATTAAGCCAAATTAATGGGAAAATCAAATCTACCTATTTAAACAAGATCTCAAATCAAAATCAATCAAATTAATTTCTAAATCATGTTCGACTAACAATAATCTCATATAGTCAAGATCTTGGCTCAAAAATTAAAAATTAAAAATTAAAAATTAAAAAAAAAAAAACGTAATTTTAATCACAACTAGTGGAAGTAGAGATCTGAAGGAGGTGAGAAAAACAATAATTTCAACGGTCATTTTTTGCCGACTAAAATAATAATAATAATTACAAAATGACAATTAAAAATATAATTAACAAAAATGATAATTTAATCGAAAAAAATTAAGAAAAAAATATGGGACCAACGGCAGCAGGTAAAATAGGAAGAATCTTTTGATGGACTGAGTACATCTTTTTGCAGAAAAATAGGTCAGAAAATAAAAAAAAAAAATTATTAAAATAATTATCTTTTCAAACAAATTCCTCAAAAAATACCGTCAATCAGTTGTTTTTGACTTATTTCTGCGAAAAATGCTTCCCCTAATTTGACTTTATTTTTCCAAAAATACATTTAATTTATTTTATTTTTTGCATTTCATTTTTTCAATTTAACCACTAACTTGATACTTTGATAGTGACCAATTGGAATTTAGTATTCAATTGATTCGGATAAAATTTTCAATGCCCAATAGCGGATAAAAAAAATAATGGGATTTGAAATTAGATCTCTAAAGTGAACATATAAATCAAACCCAGTTCGAAATCCAGTTTCAGAGGATTTCGAACTGGGTTCGAACAATTTCATTGTGTTCTTTTGTCTTATTATTTATCCCGTCCCGATGAATTGTAATTCATCGGGACGGGAGGATTGATATAGTATCCCTAAACAACTAATCTAATTATTAAAAAGAAAAAAAATCATGAATATCGTCAAATCAATTAACCAAGAATAAATGAAAAAGGGTTGAATTGAATGAAATTGAATTGGAATGAGTGAAGAATTACCAGATCAACAGCCTCATTTTTAATGTCTTCGAGATTAAAGGCCTTCGCCATGGCTGCTGCTGCTACTGCTTAAGAGGAGAGAGAAAGTAGAGAGTGAAAACAAAGAGAGAGAAACTCTGAGAAAAAAAGAGGGGAAAAGAGTGATTATATAGAGGAAAAAAATTAAAGTGGGTTAGCCATTCAATGAAGTTGGCCCTTTAATATTTTTTTATTTTTTTTTTTTTGGGAGGGGGGTGTGTGGGGGGGGGGGGGGGGGGGTTTATTTATTTTGTATGGGTGAAAAAGAAATTTTGTTAATTTGTGAATTGTGATTGAAGAGAGTGAGTGAGGTGAAGAACTGAAGACTATTTTTGTGTGTATGTTGGTATCCTTTTTATACCGTAAAAGAGATTAATTGCTTTTTTTTTTCTTTTTCTAATGTTGTTTTTAATAAATCACATTCTTAGTAATGGTCGTTTCATAGGTACTACTTCCTCCGCCCCCTCTCTTGTATGCGCGCACCGATCGGTGTGGAGAAAATAGGTGAGACCAATATAATACGGAGATTATTGTCTATAGTGTTATTTATTTTATTTACTTTGTATTCATAGAGTCATATGAAATATTAACAATTAAGGGTTTGCTCACATTTACTTAATTTCAGTTTAGTTCAGATTCAATTCAGCTCCAATCATTTCAGTTTAGCTCTTAATTTCCCTCTCTCATAAAATATTCATTTCAGTTCAGTTCAATTCAGATCAGTTCATCTCCAATCAGTTCATTTCAGTTCAACTCCAATCAGTTCAATCCAGTTCAGCTCATTAAATGTAAACATGCCCTAAGTAAAGTGTTAGAGAAATAGTAAAGTAGAAAAGATTTTTTGAGTATCAGTGTGGATATTTTAACCAAGTATGTACTTTTATTAACGAACAAAGGAAGTTTCAATCTGACTAATAAAAAATAGTAAATCACACATCACTAAAGGTTATACGAAAAAATAATAAACAAACAAAAAAAAGTAATTACACTTTACTTCATTAGTTTAGCCAATTGAATGAGTTTGGAGATCGAGTTAATGTTTTTAATTAATTAACTGTTTAAGATATATGCAACTCTTAGGGTTTTATAAAGATAAAATATCTTTCAGAAAATGATATACATTTGTGAATTATTTGAAATAGATATACGTGTGTGAAATTATGATAAAATTACACATTAAGCAGCATTATTATTAACATTAAACATAAAGTAATTATTAATATTTTCTTTAATAAAAAAACATTACTCCCTCTGTTTCATAATGTTAGTCCCATATACTATTTTGGGCGTTTCAAAAATATCTACCCATATTGAATATATTTCATTTATAACTTGTTTTTTTTTTGAATTAATTGATTGTGTATTGATGACATGACTTTAAGTTAGGAAATTTTTATCTTAAATTATGCAATTATGAATTATGCTTTCCTAATGAAAAATCAAAAAAATTAAATAAGGTAAACTAATTATGAAATCTGTTGTACTTTAATGTTAGATTCCAAATATATTTGTTTTTTTATTTTATGTGACTGATTTCATATGGGACTAACATTATGAAACGGAGGGAGTATTAATATTTCCTTTTCATCTTCTATAATATGTTGCTTTATTAATTATTTTTTATAAATAATAATAATAATAATAATAATAATAAGTATAATTTTTCTATGTATAAATGAAACCATTATAACTACTTAGGGTATGTTCACATTTACTTATTATTTCATGCAGTTCAGTTCAGTTCAGTTCAGCTCTTAATTTCTCTCTCTCATAAAATATTTAATTCAGCTCCAATCAGTTCAGTTCAGCTCCAATAAGTTTAGTTCAGAATATGTGAACAAGGCCCTTATAAGCGTATATGGCCTTGTTTTTGTGAGTTTATGGACGAAGTATAGCAAAAGCGGAGCATATATAACGAGCATATTTCAGCAAAGTAACTCTAAAAATCAGTACTTTGTACCTTATTGTATAAGTATTAATAACATTAATAAAATACTGTTTTTTTAAAACCACATTAATAAAATACTTCGTAAGTCATAATCGTTACTCCGTAATACATTAAGGAAATGAGTATGAGTATCATATCTCTCTCATGCAACCTGTGACATGTCGGTTGCTTTGAGAATGCATGAATTGAACTTCTGTTGGAGTTGTCATCTTCCATCCCCACGCCGTCTTTGATTGGTAAATTTGTTAAGAAGAAAATATAATTTTTTTTTATATTTATTTTAGAGAGATAATTAATTAATTAATATTTATATAAAGAGGTTTTTCCCAAGTTTTTAAAAATCCATATAGGATTTTATTTACATGCCATATAAGATTACAAATTTCAGTTATAACCAATTAAATAAGATAATTAATTTTTTTTATATAGAGGTTTTTTCGCAAATGTTTAGAAATCCACATAGAATAAAATTTTATTAACGCGTTAGATTATAAATTTAAGTTATAACCAATTAAATAAGATCATCAAAAATTCTTATAGAATTATATAATAATTCATATGTCACATAATCAAAATTGACGAATGAAATTTTAAAGTTTAAATTAATTATATATAAAATATCTTTTGAAATTAGGAATTTTATATGAGTATATAATATAGAAAATTCACAATTTATTTTAAAATAAAATATTTAATAATATGAATAAAATAACAAATTTCATCACATAAATACTAAAAATATTTGTTTTTAAAAAATACAAACAAAGCATCACACGCACAATTGTGTATTTAATCATAAAAGCTTTTTAAAAAATGTATAATTAATCAATCATTTCCAAAGATTAGTTTTACCTTTAAAATGAAAAAAAAAATGTCCATAATAGTTTTTTAGGGATTTTTTTTTTATAAGAAACCACCATGTGGGTAGTTATGATGTCAGCGGTAATTATTTTAGTATTAATTTACTTTTTTTTAATAAAACTATTTATAATTTTCATATATTTCAATGTAAATGTGATAAATGAGCATAAGCTACACCTGTCACATCTATCCACTTTATACGAACAAAGAGCTTTGATCTCAAAACCATATGGCAATAAGGGGAATAGCCCTTTAATCTTATAAAATGGACACAAGTCACACAACTTTCTTTTTTCTTCAATGTAGGATACACATTCCAATACTCATCTTGACTTTTACACTCTTTCAATGTGGGACAATATATTTACTCACATTTGAGTTTGCATATGGACTCAACACTCCCCCCACACATGTGAGTTGTTCATAATACTGGTCCAAATCACAACACACCCAACATGGCTTTTGATACCATGAATATCGAATTCTTATGATCACGGCTTACTTTCTCATTAAATTAACTTGCGGGAAAATATATATGTTACAATATTCCTTACCCTAACAATATATTAGGAAAAAAGAAATTGACTAAAATACAAGATAATATCTTCTAACTAAATCTTTTTTAACTAATAAAAGTAATTACCGCTGACATCATAACTATTCATGTGACAGCTTCTTATTAAAAAATTTCCCTTCAAAACTATTATTGACATCATTTTTCAAAGGTAAAGCTAATGCTGGAAATGATTGATATATTATACATTTTCCAAAAAAGCTTTACTAACCCAACCACAATAGTTGGCTAGCCATTATATTTCAAAGCCAAAAAAGCTTTATTAAATTGACTGAATACACAATTTCTATATCGCACGGTACTGACCTAGTATTCTACTCCTCTCGTCCCTAAATTATATTCTTATTTCTAGCATTTATTACTCACTTAATAGATAGGAGTAGGAATTGAATGTAATTTAGGGATGGAGGGAGTATAAGATAATCCCCAAAATTATATGATATGATATTATCTCAATAAAATAAGTTCCAGCGATAATTAATTTAAATATGTATGAACATAACAATTACTTACTCACATGTGGATATCGTTATTAAAGTTCAAATTACAAATATTCCTTCATTATTTTTTTTGGTCAAAACTAAGGATATATAAGCCTTTTATTATTATTATTATTATTATTATTATTATTATATTATTATTATTATTATTATTATTATTATTATTATTATTATTATTATTATTATTATTATTATTATTATTTCAATGCAAATGGATTCTACAATGCTAGCTCTTGATTATATGTATACGAAAAAAAATATATATACATGAATTTGGGCTTAATATTTTAGCTTAATTTCAATTTAATTCAGTTTAGTTCAGTTCAGCTCCAAACAGTCCAGTTCAGTTTAGTTCCTCATTCCCTTATCTCATAAACAATTCATTTCAGTTCAGCTCAAATCAATTCAGTTCTGTTATTTTTAGTAAATTGGAACATACCCTTTTTAAAATATTACGTTTTGATTAATCTCAAATACTTAATATTTATTCCTTTCGTTTTCAAATACTTGCTCCATTAATTTCTACTCTTTGCACTATTCATTTATCCAACTTTGACTAATATTTGTGATTTATACATAAGAAAAAATATAGTCTTGTGGGTACTTGTTGGAATCCTCTCCATGAATAGATTATAAATTTTCAATTGTTATATTTTATACTTATTAATAATTAAAGATATAATTGATCAAATATTTGCATTGGCATACGTGCGCAAAAGAAATGGAACAAGTACTACGTATTTAAAATGGAGAGATTACTTAATTTCAAATTGTCAAATTTTTTTAATATAATATGTACTTGAAAACATTCATGTTAAAGAAGTGTATACAACAAAAATGTGAAAATTAAAACAAGCTAAGACTAACAAAAAGAAATACAAAGAGTAGTAAACTTTGAAAAAAAAACTACTTATATTAATTATTATGTTTGAATTGAAGGAAGTTTAGCAAGCATAGTTGACAAGTATAGTTTCTAATTTTTTTTATATCATGAAAAGTCTATTCTATAGAAAAAAAAAAGGATGATACACTTGTAATATGTGCTTGTATATATTAACATATTCATTAGAAAAAAATAATTAGTGAAGTGAAATTAAAAAGAGTTATAAATAGAATAGTATCAATTGTTTGAAGCTATAAGACGGAGAGA